TCCTCCAACTCCTCCATCTACCCTCAAAAGCAAAGAAAAGGGGGAAACCATCCAGAATTCAAACTGGAAGTGATGTGATATCACTTCTATTTATGTCAGATGTGTGAATGAAGCTCCCCGAGGGGAAAGGGGGCAAAGGTGGTCCCCGTCCTCTCTCTACTTGTCCATGCCTGGCTTTAAAGCCTTACAAGAAGCCTGTGAAGGCTCTTTGTCTCACTTTTTGTGTCCTTCCTCAGGGGATCAAAGGAGAACGTGGACCTTCTGGGCCTGTTGGGGTTCAGGTAAGCCCTTTAGCTATGGACAGAAAGTGGATCAGGATCTTGGGTGAATCTCAGGATGCCTGAAGCCGACTGATAAGGATTTTTGACTTTTAGGTGTCAGGATTACTTCCCATCCTACACTGTTCCCAGTTATGCAGCTGAAATGGAAGACAGATGGGGGGAGAAAGATAACTAAGAGGATATTCATGTGTGGGTGGAAGGTTCTCTCCATTCAGTTCTAATACCTCCAATTCTTTAATTATAAGGGTGCATCTACCCTATCAAAACAATGCAGTGTTGACACCAGTTTAAGCGCATCTTGAAAAGCACCTTTAAAATCTGGAATAATAGCTGGAATGCATTCAGCATCTTGTTGCCATCTGAGCTAGTAGCTTCAAGCACAAAACCTCATGGAAATATTGGTTGTGTTTTATAGGGTGTGAAGGGTGTTAGAGGTCCACCTGGTTTCCAGGGGCATCCTGGACCAATGGTGAGTGATTTTTGTTTATTTCTTGCATTTCCCTACTGCAGGAATGACTTTTCTCTTGCAACTATTTGGGGTTAAGTCGTATCAGCCCACTGCTATGCTAGTTTTCCAATTGCAGGGAACTACATTTTTCCATTAAGGAACTGTTCATAAAGTATATTTGAGCACTTCAGATTTCTGCATCCTCCTTCTGTTGTGTTTGCAAAGTAGGGATGGGAAGATTATTCATAAATATTCGACTGCCACATGAAAAGGGGCTTTCCAAGTGTCAGGAAAACATGATGAGAAGGATTTTGGATAGATGAAAATCATTACGCTTGAGGACTTAGAAACCCACATGAAGGTTTTGTTTTGTTTTGCATTTTTGCAGAGAACACTGCATTTTCTGCACAGAAATGTTATGTTTCGCACAGAATGCACCTTTCCTATACAGAAAACATGATTTTGTGCACAGATAAACAACACTCCTACATTAGAAATGTTGTTTCCGTGGGACTTATGTTCAGTTTATGCAGAAGAACTCCTGAACTGAAAATGTTCCTCAAAAACTGCACAAATTTTTGAGAACTTTTTTACATTGGGGTGCAAAATGGTTGAATTCTTTGTTCTTCTCCATGAGAATGAAATTCATGAAGATTTGAATTCCTCGCAAACCAGGTCTCAGATACTGGTCTCTCTATCATGTGTTTTGGGAATTCTATCATTTGATGTTTCTGTTGTGATTTCCAGATGCATCTAAGTATGCTTTTGGGGAGACATTTCTTCCCAGAATCAGAGAAGACACCGTTTACAAGAGCTCCCATCATTTTGGAAGCAAGAGTCTCTTCTAACCTCTCTCTTTTGTTCCAGGGTGAAGCTGGCTTCGTAGGCTGTTCAGGACCCGCCGGACCAGAGGTAATAATTTCAACATGTCTTCGGTTGGTCTTGAAATCCCATTTGTGCTCTGTTCCCAAAAATGATTTTCATCAACTTGTGAACTCCAAGCAATTCTGTTGCCCCAAAGCCCACCCTTCTGCAACTTGTGTGGCCATTTTGAGAACCAAGATGGCAGCTGGCCAAGAAGCGATGGGTTGCTGAGCCCTAAGGGGGTCATCAGAGTCATCTAATCCAATTTCCAGAGTCTGGGAATGTCTATGGGACTGAGTTAAACAAATGCTGGCTGAGCAATCCTTTGCTCTCCGTAGTGAATACTGGGAACCATAATGTTGTGAGCGGGGGGTACAAGGTATTGAGTTGTTCTCAAGAATCCTTAGAAGGCAGACATGAAATTCATCAAACTAATGATCAGTTGAAGATTGCAAAAAGATCTTGTAGCATCTTTGAGACTAACTGAGAGAAAGAAGCCGGTAGCATAATTTTTCATAGACAAAGGTCTCATCTACACTGGAGAAATAATGCAGTTTGATACTGATTGAACTGCCATTGCTCAATGCTGTGGAATCCTAGGATTTGTAATTTTTGTGGCACCAGAGCTCTATGCTAGAGAAGGCTAAATATCTCACAAAACTACATATCCCAGCATTCCATGGCATTGAGCCACGGGAGTTAAAGCACTGTCAAACTACATTATTTCTGCAGTGTAGATGAGATCTAAGTCCGTTTCATCAGATGCATAAGTTGGAAGTTGGACAGCAGGAATAGGATATGACTCAACTGTCCTTGACATTAGGACCCCCAGAGGGTTTTAGATCACAACTCCCATCATCCCCAACCATTGGCCAAGATGGCTGGGGTTAATAGAAGCCTTGCCCAAAACATCTCAACACGGGTACGCAATTTGAAATCCTCTAGATGCTTCAGACTACAGTTCCCATAGACCCTATCTCTAGATCATGTTGGTTGAGATTGATGGGAAATACAGCCCAATCCATCTGAGGAGGATCAGATAGTTGTTATGTGTCTTCAAGTTGACTTCCACTAGAGTTTCTGGGCAAGATTTATTCAGAAGAGGTTGGCCGTTGCCAAGTGTGACTTGCCCAAGGTCCTCAAGTAGGTTTCCATGGCTGAGATGGGATTTGAACCCTAATCCTCAACGAACAATATCCCATGCTGGCTCTCACTGAGAAGTTGCACATAGCTAACTGTGATTAATAGTCCTCGATGTTAGAGACTGTTTTTCTGTGCCTCATTGGTTCACAAATGGATGCCATTGGGGGTCTAGAACTATTCTAGTACATGTCCGCAATGAAGGTAATTGTGTGCTTTTTTGGTTTTAGATGTGTAGGCAGTCCTTTCTGATTTTGCCTAAGATTTCTCCCCAGGTGTCATTCATTCTTTTCTATTTTCACCCTATTTTAAAAATGCATACTTCAGTTGCTATTTCCTTTATAGGGTGAGATGGGGCAACCAGGCATGGTTGGATTGCCAGGAGTCAATGGCTCCCAGGTGAGTTGTCCAAGGATGGGACCTTAAGGAGGCTTTGAGTGTAGATAAATACACAGACCCCTCTTAAACCTTTCCAAAAAATAAGAATCCTATAATTAGTGTTTGGTCTTGTCTTGCAATTCCTTGAACTGTATTACCTGTGGATTAAACTGTAAAGTCACTCTGATCCCACCCACCACTGGCATAGTTTCTATGATAATCCATGCCTCAGAAATCTCAGATATTTTTTTGGCTTGTCTCTTATGGTGCATCTGCACTATAGAAATAATGCCATTTGACACAACTTTAACTGCCATGGTTCCATCCTCCAGAATCCTGAGATACGGAGTTTGGTGAGGCACCAGCCCTCTTTGATGGAGAAAGCTAAAGGCTTTGCAAAACTAGAAAGCCCAGGATTCCATAGGATGGAGCTTAAAGTGGTGTCAAACAGCATTATTTCTACAGTGTAGACACCTTTAGGTGTTTGGCCTGAAGGATAAGCCCTGAAGTTACTATATTTTGCCTTTAAGTGGAATTCCAGTGGCAATTCTATATGGGGAGCATTAACATATGAACATAAACCCTAAGTCCAGAGAGTATAACTACTGGGGAGGGAATGGAGACAGGACCCTCCATTAAGAATTCTACACACACACCATTAAACCTTCCTTCTGTCCCCAAATTTCTAGCATGACAGAGAACAAGACATTGAAAATTATTCCCACTTGGAATACTTAAATTTGCTGTGTTGACATTCCCTGGAGAACTTGGCCTAACCTTTTTCTTTGGCTACTTCCAATATCTCACATTGGGATGCATGTGTTCAAGCAAATTTGAAATGTGGTCAAGGTGGCAAAAGGTATGAATGAGGAAGGACACACAAACTAGGAGGGGTCATGGCAGTTTCCTTTTGCCTGAGTCTACTGGGAAGAGTGAAATTCTACCACCTCCTTTCCTCTCCTCTCCCTCTGCTGAGCAAATTGAGTTCAAATAACATTTACATTTTGAATGCAGTTTGCAGCAATGTAAAATAAGCTGAGGACAAAGGGGGAGGAGGAGAGAGAAACTGGGACATTTTAAAAGCAGCTAAGAAAATGGGACAGCAGAGGAGGAATTGGAACTGTCTCTGCCAAACTGGGGCAACTGGTATGAAATGAGTATAAATTGTCTTATTGTTGCCTTTAGGGAGAAATGGGGCCTTCGGGTTTACCAGGTCCTCCAGGTCCTCAGGTATGTACTCTTTTTTTCTCCTTTTCCTTTTCCCTTCCTTCAAGCATCAAGGTCCCAAGCTGTTTAAGGTGTTAAATGTCATCGTAAACCCCTTGAATTCAGACCAGAAATGTTTTGGCAACTAGCACATTTCTTTGCAGACCAACATGACAAGCCGTCTGTATGATAACCTTCTAGTCAGCAGTAGAGCTTCTGCATCTTGCAATAGCTTCAGCTGCAGAATGGATTGGAAGACTGGACTTGCTTTTCCTTGAAATTCCTAAGAGCCTTATGAAATTCCAGATCACAAAGTTTCCCATGCCTAAGCAGAAACCCTGCAGCTTGTCTCTTTGCATTATGACTGCCGTGTAACTTTCCCACACATACACACTTTCAATCAATGTTTGGCAATGAGAGAGTGCCTCTCCAATGGTGACATTCAAAATAATTAGCAACCAGTTTCTAATTTTTATTTTATTTTGCCAAAATGGGTACATGCATAAATGCATCCTGATATGTTTCCTTCACCTTGGAACATTTGATGCTTCCCCACTGGGATCCCGCTACACAATTGCAGTGCTACGATTCCACTTTAACTACCATGGCAACATCCTATGGAATCCTGGGATTGGTAGTTTGGTTAGATGCTAGAGCTCTCTGGCTCTATATGCCCCCCCTAAGCCAGTCTGGCATAGTGGTTTAAGTGTTGGACTGCAACTCTGGAGTCCAGGGTTCAATTCCCAGCTCAGCTATGAAACCCACTGGGTGACCTTGGGAAAGTTACACTCTCTCAGCCTCAGAGGAAGGCGATGGCAAACCTCCTCTGAACTGATCTTGCTGAGAAAAACCCATGATAGGGTCGCCATAAGACAGAAACGACTTGAAGGTACACAACAACAACAAACCTCCAATCCCTGGCTTCCCTAGAGTGGAACCATGAATTATAGTATTGTGTGAATGGGTGATTGAATTTAGACCAGAAATAGAGACGCTAAATAAGCTCACACAATTCCATGCACATTTCTGTTTCTGCTCTCACACCATATTTTAGTTATACCTCTCCTGGTTTCTTGTTTGGTTTTTCTAGGGACCCCAAGGTTTAGAAGGGAGACGTGGACCTCCGGGACTCAGAGGATTACAGGTGAGCAGTTAGTCTTTTGTCCCTTTCATTAGATTTTTAAAGTATAGATGAATTTTTGAAAGGGCAAAAAAGAGAGAAAGGAAGTGTTCATTGACCCCAATTGACAGGATACGATAATGGACTCGGCTAGGTATATACATTAACATAACCCGATTGTGTCAAGAATCCTGTTGTGGTTTTACAGTTGTGCAAATGCTGTTTCACAAGCATTAGCAGTTCCTTGGAAGTTGCACAAGGCTAGTATTCTGTTCAGAGTTGCTAGCATATGGCATTGCACAAGCCTTGGAGCACTACCAAGGTTGCATCTGCACTGCAGAATTAATGCAGTTTGACACCGCTTTAACTGCCATGGCTCACTGCGATGGAATTTCTGGGATCTGTAGTTTTGTGAGCTGTTTAGGCTTCTTTCTCTGACAGCTCTGATGCCGCAACAAACTCCAAACCCCAGAGTTCCATAACATTGAGCCATGACAGTTAAAGCAGTATCAAACTGCGTTAATTCTGCAGTGTGGCACCAGCCTACAAGGTCTTATAAGTGTGGTTTTTTGTCTATGAGAAGCTGCAGAAATCTCTGTACCATTACAGCTGCCTGTCCCATTGAAATGGACTTGCTTTCTTTGCAGGGTCCTTTGGGAAGGGAAGGATTCCCCGGAGCCAAAGGAGATCCAGTAAGAGCAACATATGTTTTGCGCTTCTTAAATCTTTTCCCTCCTAAAACTCTTCCATTATTAGATTTGTTTTAACCCCCCCCCCATTGAAATTGTCAAAGCAGAGCAAAGAGGGTGAAATATATATCATGGATCATGTAGTTCAGCCCTACTACCCCGAGGCAGACTTCTCTTCTGTCTGTACAAGATATTACTTAAAAAAAAAAATGCCTTCTCAGTTTTTCTCCCTTAACTGCTGCCAACAAAGGTGATATATTTATATCCAGGTGCAAACTGTGGATGAACAACTTCAAGGCCTTTGCTTTTCCTTCTTAGGGCTCCTTGAAACTGGGCTTAGAGGGGGCAGCCCTTCCTTAAACAGAATACAGATGCCTTCAAACAGGGTCCTACAACCAGTGGTGCCCGGTGCCTTCCACTCCATCTCTTAGCCTAAACTTTAAGGGAGCTGTCCAAGGTGCTGATCTCTGAACACCCCCCCCCATAGCTTCAAAACCTTTTGATAGCCCCTATAAATGTTGGACTAAACCCCAGAATGGATACATGGAAGCTCCCAGCCGCCCTCTGAAAAGTAGGTCTTCTCCCAACCACTTCCAATAGAGCTATTCTATCCCTAATGGAATGCCTCTGTTTGTCTTGTTATAGGGGGCAAATGGGCCTTCTGGTCTAAGAGGGGCACATGGACAAGAAGGCCTGATGGTATGTGGTGAAATCTGTGTCGAAAATTATGCTGTTCCATGGGACGGAGATCAGGGGTGTCCTTAGGTGGGTGCAAGGGGTGCGGACAGCACTGGAGGACACCTCCGAGAGAGGGGTCACCCGATGGTCTAGTGAGAAGGGATGCCTTCTGCTTCTGAAGTCTGTAGGGTGATGCGAGGGATGCAGACAGCACTGGATGATCCCTAGAGGAGTGTGTCATCTGGTGCTCTAGAGAAAAGGGGTGCCTTCCACTTCTAGAGTTATTAGGGGGTGCAAGGGGTGCAGCTGGCACTGGATGACACTTTAGAGGAGGTGTCACCTGGGGCTCTGCTCTGGTGAGAAGGATGCCTTCTGCTTCTGGAGGCTTTGTGGACAGGGAAGGAAGGCAAGTCCCCTCCCTTTGCCAGCAGCTCTGCCCTATCCAGAAAAGTCTGTTGAAGAGAGGAGGGGATGATTAAAAAATGATCTGGACCAGGTGTCAAATATACTAAGTATGGCACTGGTGGAGATATGTGAGTCAAATCTACTTATCTTCACCGGTCATAGAAATAGACATGCACAGAGACATGGGCAAACTGGACCCATCCATGTTGTCCTCTCACTTGGGCACTTCTCCTTTCTCCTCATTTTCTATCGTTTTGGAAACCTTCACTTATCCACTGCCTTTTGTCTTCACTCAAGGGGTTACCTGGGATGCCAGGCCCTCAAGGACTACCTGGGGAGCAGGTAAGTCATTTTTCTTCTAGTAATATTCGAAGAGGGTATGAGGGATTGAGAATTTGGTTTTGACTTTTTTTTTATAAGAACTTTCTAAAATTGGCTCACTAGAGTTCTTCAAAAATTCAATGGAACGATCTTAAAGATTCCTTTCTTAAACAGTCAAACATGTAGTGGCTTGAGTGCTAGACCAAGACTGTGTGAGATCAAGGTTTGAATCCTCACTCAGACATAGAAACCCATGGGAAAAGTCACACACTCTCAGCCGAAGAGGAAGGTAGCCAGGCTTTTCAATACAGCTGCATTGCTTTGAAAAATTATCTTTTTGGACTACAAGTTCCAGAACGCCCAGTCATCAGAAATATAACTTATCCAAGCTTGACACAGATAATGTTTATATATCTTGGTACTCTATTGAGTGTCCTAACTGTTACATTCTGTGTTAACATCTTAGCTTCAATTTCTGTACCAGGTGTAAGAGCAGCCCTGCATAGACTGCATTGCAGTAGTCTAACCATGAGGCTGAGACATGTGGTTCAAAGATGTAATTCAGATGCTACTTACGGTACTAATTCCAACAAAGGTGAATCCTCCTCATGCCACCTTCACAACTTCTCTCTTCTTTTCTGTCTCCAGGGAGCCAGAGGACCAGAGGGAGCAAAAGGGTATCCAGGAACCAAAGGTGACCAGGTAGAGTAACACGCATGATAACAAATGGGTCCTTGGTACCCACTGGGGTTTGGTTCCAGGACACACACACACACACATGGATACCAAAATCCATGGATGCTCAAGTCCCATTACATACAACTTCATTGGCTAGAGGTCTAGGACCAATGCCTCTTTCTTTCCAATGGTAACCATGCCTCTCGACTCTACACAGCTATTTGGAAAAGAAGAAGAAATTAACCCAGGGGTTGATCTACCTCCTCTGCAGTGTGTTGACTTTTTTCAGGGTACCATTGGCTACCGGGGTACTAAAGGATTACCAGGAGTTCGAGGTGCCACAGGTTTTCAAGGCTTTCCAGGAGCCAAAGGATTAGCTGGACCACTGGGACCTGAAGTAAGGAAGCACCTCTCTCTCTCTCTCTTTCTTTCTTTCTTTCTCTCTTTCTCTCTCTCTCTCTCTGCAACAGCTTTTAAAGAGTCTTTTCACAATGAATTAGTATAGCAAAAGAGGGCCATCTGCTGGTGACTTCCTGGGGAATGAAGAAATGAAGGATGGACTTTGCCTCTTTCTGTATCCATTACACTCCAATCCTAGCTCCACTGATCTCTCTGTATGTGCCTTCAAACCCATTTGCTGGCCTTAGGTAAATCACATTCTCTTAGCTTTAGGGAAGGAGCGTGGTAAACCTCCTCTGAATAAATTGTGCCAAGAAATTCCTATGATAGGGTCACCATAAGTCAGAGTTGACTTGAAGACACACAGCGGGAGCAACATCAACAAGGAATGATGATCTACGTGACTTGTAGCCATAATAATACTCTGGTTGTGGCATGTCCATTCTAACACCATTGAATCTCCACTACTTTCCATCCATTCCAGATCTGCAGATTGAAAAATTGTTTGTGTTAAAGGCATTGACTCGATCTTTTTGGTATTTCAGGGAGAGGAAGGGCAAATTGGTCCTCCTGGTCAAAATGGTACAGAAGGACCCAAGGTTAGTATAACCTTTACTTGGAAACACACACACACAGTTCATTGAATAGTGATGATGAAATTTTACTTAATATATTGCTGGGTGGATATTGTTTCAACACAGATCTCTGCCATGGACCCAAGTATGTGGTTTTCTGGTGGTTGCCTTTTCCATTTTCCATCAATCCAAAGAAGATATACCATGCAGATATACCATGCCAGAGATATACCATGCAGGATTGTTGTGAGGGCAAAATGTTTGGAAGGTTGACTCAGCCTCTACTAAGGTTTACCAACCTTTATTTTAGGATTAAAATTGAGGTAACAGCCTTATAGATGGCTTTTTAAAAGGAAATTGCAAACATGGCTTTCCCCCAACATCGCATAAAGGGACACCTGACATGGGAAGAAGATAGACTGGAACCATTTCTTTCCCTTCTTCTTCTTCTTTTTCAACCTTGTAGGGACTATTCTCTTGCTACTTATTATCTTTAAAAACAAAACAGGTGATCCATCCTGGTTTGGTCTCATTTCTCAAAAAGGAAGAGTGTGGTTATAAGGAATTCTGCTTTGCGTGAAATGATGGGATCTGGTTTTTTCTGAACTGCAGGGCAGTCGAGGTTTGGATGGCACCAAAGGAAGACCAGGGCCACGGGGAAGCCGGGTAATGAATAATTCCTTGAGTCTCATTCTTGAAACATGTCTTTCCCCCTAAAGGAGTGTTAAGGAGGGTGCTGAAATTTTAAGGAAAACTCAGGCACTCCTTTCCTTCTGTATGCACCTTTGTTCAAAGTGTAACCCACAAGATAATCAGACTTGAAAAATGTGTTTCAATGTGTTGTGTTACACATATGCAGTAGCATTACTCAAAATGCTGATCCATGGATT